TTCACGTAAATTTGGTTAAGGATCTTGTGAGACATTTCGTTTGGCACTTGTCGAGTGTACAACCGTAGCCTGTAGTTATAACCAGAGTCTCCTGGAGGGAGAGCGGGAGTTTGTGTATAGACTAGGCCAGTCTAGGGTGACAAACCTTACCATAAACACGTCGGCGTCCGAAAAACGTCATGACAGGCAGAATTGTCATTATCAAGTATGGTTATAACGACTCACTTACAGGAATTAACACCATTATAAAATTTACGGAATACAACATCTGTTGATAACATGGGAACATACACGCATTAGTACTCAGTTTTTGGGTGTTGAAATCACAACGTTTTTTTTATAAACAGACAACATCGGGTTGTCTGGAATCATTCACTTCATACACTCAAAAACATTAACACACATGCATTAATACAAGATCTGACACAAACATTTCAAACTGTTTTTCAGAAGAAAATCGAATTTTCTGATGTTTACAAAGCAATACAAAACATTTTACTCAAACATGCTTATAAACTCACCAACATTATATATGTTGACCTTTTTAAATTAACTTGTATTCTCAGGAAATCGTTGAGCAGGTTGGTCAGCAAGAATACCTGGATATTTTGTTGTGTTTTGTTATCACCATATTTTGGATATTTTGGCATGTAATATTGAAATACAATACTTGATGTAAACAATGACAATTGTAATATTACATGTTGATGATGATGATGTTTTGTTTCAATTATATACACAGTGATGATACTACAAAAATGAAGTCACCCAAGACCCCAGACGTTTCCGCCGTCTGGTTCGGGGGTGTGACATTTTACCCATAACCTAGCTTGGTCTAAGCCCAAGGCCTAAACTCACACTCTGAAGGCCCAAAAGCCAAATAATCAACCAAGGCTTAATTATGGCCCAATTTTCCAAATTGGGCCCAAACCCCTTACATGGGCCTTACCCTAAAGCCCATTCAAAAATCATAGTCCATACACTTGTTCTCAGATGGCCCATCAAGAACCCAAACACCTAAGCCCAAAAGAAGGGCTCAACTCGAAGCCCAAACACGATTAGGGTTTTCACATAAAATGACGATTAAGGTTAAGTAAGAACACTTAACCCATTAAGGACTTAATCCATTAAGTCCATCACTCCACAAGGTCAATCATACAACGTGGTCGGGCATAATTCATAACTCCAATCCAACGGTCCAAAATGCGGGTCCCAGCAAGTCCCAAACTAAAGTCTCCAAGATTAGGGTTTTCTAAACCCTAATTAGGCTTTCCAACCCAAACACATGCCAACTAGGTCCAAGGTTAAGATTTTAGATTAATTTGGGTTTCACTAGGTAGGGCACCACCCACTGCTACCTCCAGCGGTGGTGGTCGACGACGGTCCACGACTGTAGCCACCCGCACACGGCAGCAGTTTGAGAGATAATTCCATCAACCAAACACATGTACAAGTTTTCATCAATCACACACACACAACCCCCCCCCCCTTGGTGGCCGGTGGCGACAAAAGAAGGCAGTTTAGCGGCAGCCACCATGGTTGGCTGGCATGGTGGTCCGCCTTGCTCTCCGGCTAACTAAACACCCACTCACCCTTCACGAACACGAATTCTAACATAAAATATGTACCCAACTCAGCCACTTCGGGTGGCAGGCGGCAACCGGAGCACAGAAAAAGGTAGCCACTCGGAGATGCGGTGGCGACGGACGCGGCTGGGGTGTAGCATCGACGAAACGGAGAAGAGGGTTGTGATCGCGAACGACATCAGCAGCAGCAGCATCATAATGGACGTCCTCTCGCGGTCCTCGCTGTCGTTGGCAACGGGGCAACGATGGTGCTGGATGACAAGTCACAACGGCGGCAAGGGCGTCGGATGAGAACGACGGTCGCTCGGAGGCTTTGGCTGATCGGAAAAACGTGAAAGAATGGTGGTGGCGGCTGGAGAGTCACGAATGGCGGTTGCTTAAAGAGTAGGGTTAGGGTTAACATGTATCGAGTGGGAAGGAAGAAAGGAAGGGGACGAGTTAAGCCCCGACACCAAATCAAACTTTAACGCCCAAAACACGCTTTTGGTCCCTCCTCTCCAAATTATTTTCAAAATAAATCCATAAATTACCATTCAGCCCCCAGTTTCCAAAATCCTTTCAATTTAAACCCAAAAGCTACAAAACAAGTCCAAATGATTTTTCCTTAGCCACATGCTCAATTATTCTTTACACCACAAACCCCGAAAGCACCCTATAGTCCTCAAGACAATTTACAGTGCCAATTACACTCTTCCTCACCAAAACCCTTTAATTAAATTTCATTTATCGGAATAAAATAATATTTAAAATACATTCCCGGATTTAGGGTTTATTTTCGAAACGGGGTTTTATATATATATATATATATAATATATTATATATATAGATATATAGATATATAATATTAAAGCACATGGACAATTTTAACAGTAACATTTTTCAATTCATAGTTTTGCCGGTTTATTTTTATTTCTTTACAGTTTTGTCACAAAACTTTCACTTTTACTTCTTTACACTCTTGGCACTAAAGTTTGATGATTATTTACATTAATGCCCATAAACTTTGACAATTTATTTATTTCTATACATTTTTGCAACAAAACTTTCACTTTTACTTCTTTACACTCTTGACACTAAAGTTTGATGATTCTCTACACTAACACCCCTAAACTTTGACAATTTACAATGTTTAAACCATAACCTTCTTCATTTGTGACTTTTCTGCCATATTTTTTACATTAAAAGTGTTCAGAAATTTTTGACATTCAGACTTTTGCCACATGTTTTATAAAAAAATATTAAATTCAACCCCTTTTTCTCTATTCTTTGTCATTTTCGTTTACTATATTCTTCTGCCTTTTTTTTTCTAAAAATATTCATTTGTGACTTTTTCTCATATGTTTTTTACATTTTCCCAAATGTGCTGTGTTTATTTAATTCATTTACTGTTTAGCCTCCCATTTTCCAACATTCTTCTATTTTTATACTTTTTCCATCTTCTATTATCATCAACCTGAACTTTTTAACATTCAGACTTCCACTACATGTTTTCTAAAAAGTTGCTAAATTCAACTCCTTTTCCTTTATTCTTTGTCATTTTTGTCTACCATATTCTTGTATCTTTTATTTTATTCTAAAAAAAATGACTCGTGCAACGCACGAGCCTTTTCCTAATTATAATTGTGTTGCATAGGAAATCGAGTATATTGGGATTCATATTTTGGCGTTGTGGGTATAGGAATTATTAGGTTTCTAGAATGGTATTTAGTAATTCTTGCGAACCCGACTTTTTCTAAAGGTTGAACTCCTTTTTTTTTTTAAATTTCTTTTCTAATTTACCATGCTTAGAATCCATTTAGAAAGAAATAGGTTTAGTTGGTGTGATTTTTAAAGAGGTAAAGAATGACTTATATAGAATATATCTATTTTAATAAATAAAGATCTTTTGCTACATATTATATTCTCATTCATTTTGCCACATGTTATTTTGTGGTTATTTTAAATTAATTTTTATTCCACATGTCATTTTATCGGTTTTTTCATTTTATTAAATTCCAAATACTATTTAAATGTAATAATAAATACATATCAATTTCATTAATGAATTTCCTTGTAATTTCAAAATTACTAAATTAAAGCCTCATAAGTTTCTTTTATTTATTTATCTAAATTATTTGTTTAAATTTAAAAAAGAAAAAAACACTTTAATTTTAATAATTTAATATTTTTCTCATTTTTCTTATAAATTCAAGCTTCTCAAATATTTAGAATTTCATATTTAATTTTTATTTTAAATAAACTCATATAATACATGGATCTTATACCTAGTTTAGCTAAAAAAGAGAAGGAAAAACAACTTTGGGCAACAATCAAGAATGAAGGAGCAATGGCTCCATTACCCAATTTGGCTGGTACCGAAACGTAGCGCCACCATGTCCAACCCAAAGCCCATTCCATCTGCCCTTAGGTTCTTTTGTAAATCCCAACTACCTAAAATGTCTGCTAACACTAAGATCACCAACAACGTGATCAATAAAGTATAATGTCCAACATAGCCAACTCATTTGTCTATCCCCACTTACATAAATCACATATAATTACAATCCTATCAATGTCCTACATTATTCTTACTTCCATTACAATGCAATCATCTTCCCAATTTGACCAACAGAGCCTTAACAGTATCATGAGTTGACGGATAAGTGTCTATCAACCAAGGTTGAGGGGTTCAAGTCACGTTTGAGACGAAATGTGTAGATTAAGAGTAAGGTTAGTGGATGTTTGTAATCCGTTCTAAAAAATTGACTAAATGATACAACTAAGTTTCATGGCTTGTTGAGAGAATTCAAGAAAGTCAACATCCCACTCTTGAATTAGAAAATTAGGCATTTGGATAAGAGTTTTAAAAGTGATTATATGATACCGGATATACTTGAGAGAATAACAATCTTGATCACAAAGCAAGAAAGAAATCCTTACCATTAAAAGGAGCAAACAGGAACCATAAAATGAGGGTGATTTTACATGCTTGATATATACTTTTGATGGTGTTAAGTATTTAACAAAGTCTAATTATTTAAAAGACAAGGGTAAAATAAGGGCATATAAGCATATAATCAATTTCAAATCGCACATCCAACCACCCCAAAATACCAAAAGTACCAAGAAATGTCAACTTCTTGTCAAGTGGTGCTTCTAAAACTTGACCTAAAAATGTCATCTTGTCTCCTAAATTCAATCAGGATGACATACAACACTCATTACTTCATTCCTTTTGATCAAACAAAACCAACGATCAAAGTACACCATAAAACTCATTAATTAAAAAAAAAAAAAAAAAAAAAAAAAAAAAAAAAAAAAAAAAACTACAAACTCTACCACTTTGATGATGCATTTCTAATAAAAATGGATTATCATTCAAGATTATGGAGATACACAGCACATGATTATTGTAAATATGAGAGCTTTACCGATTCAAGAATAAGATTTGAGGCTGGAATTGTTGAGCCTTTCAAGAGATAAAATAAGAGCTTGGGTGCCCAAATCACCTTCACCATGAGCCTGAAGAGACACATAAAGCTGTTGAGCAAGTGCTAAACCAGGTAAAGCAATACCCATGTTTTGACACTCTCTTAAACAAATCCCTAAATCTTTAACGAAATGATTCACGTAAAACCCAGCTTCAAAATCCCTTTTCAAGATCCGTTGACCATACAAATCTAGGGATTTTGACCCAGCTGCACCGGTAGAAATTGCATCCAGATAAAGGGGTAAATCAAGTCCAGCTTTGTGTGCATATATCATACCCTCGATTAATCCAACCATTGTTGAAGCGATCGTGATTTGATTCGCTAATTTTGCGAATTGCCCTTTTCCTGGACCACCCATGTAATTAACTTTCCCCAAAAGGGTGAAAATCGGATTTAGACGTTTCACGGTAGATTCATCGCCTCCGGCGAAAATTGATAGCGCGGCATTACGAGCACCACGATCGCCGCCGGACACAGGAGCGTCAATGGAGAAACATGATTTCTCGGCGGCGGAATTGGAGATCTCGATGGCGAGGGAGGGTTCAGAAGTGGTCATGTCGACGAGGATTCCGTTAGGAGAGAGACCAGCAAGGGCGCCGGAGGTTGGGTGAAGGAGGACATGGCGGACGTCGGAGGGGTAGCCTACGATGGAGAAAACGACGTCGGATTGGGAAGCGACAGCGTGAGGTGATGAAGCCCAATTAGCACCGATGTCGAGGAGGGGTTGAGCTTTGGACTGAGTACGGGTGAAGATGGTGAGAGTATAGCCAGCTTTGATTAGGTGAGAGCACATAGATTGGCCCATGACGCCGGTGCCGATCCATCCGAGACGGGTGTTTGAAGGACTGATGGGTTGGACGGCGGTGGCCATGGTGCGGTGTAGACCGGCGGCGATGGAGTTGCTGATGATAGAGGAGTGGAAGTGGTAGATTGAATGGAGGAGTGACTTTATTCTTCTCATTGTCTTCTTATCCAATAATACCGCAAATTTTGTCATATTACCTCCCTTACCTTAACAATCTCTCATCTTATTTATTTATTTATTTTTTTCTATCATAATTTTTAGAAGTGTTAAATTTTTTAGCAATGTTTCTATATAGCAAGGGGTTTATTCTTTGATTGTCTATTTTTTCCCCTCTAGCAAAGGGTTGGACGTTGTTGCTTAGCTGTAGAAGTCTAATTTACAAGGATATAAGAGAATCTAGTTTCTTTGTATGATAATGAAGGAATCAATGCTTTCATATATAGAAGATGCAAAGGAAACATATATAACCTAATATTTGCAAAACCAACACGCAATGCCAATGCTCATGTAACCTAAAATCATAAGGCAAGAATGACTAGCATGAAAACCAAGTATCAATTTATTTGGTTTGTGTGAAAATTAGTAGTTTTAGTCTTATCAATGATCATCATTTTCAGATTGCATAAAGACCTTATGTGTTCAAACCATAAAGTATTTATGTTTGCATCAAGTATTCAAGTGTTTCACAAATGTCAAATGTTCTATGCATGAATGTCGAAAAAGATACTAAAGTTTTCAATCTACAATGACTTTTCAATTGCATATAAACCTTTGATTGAGCACATAAAAACTTGTATTAATATTTTAACTATTAATTACAAGGTAACTCGTAATCACTGTCTGTCATGTCGTGCATAGAAACCTTTAGGCTGGAGGGAGTGGTCACGATAAAGATCGTGGCTTGCCAAGGCGGACATGACACACACTGTCCCTAGTGTGTAGATTGTGCCAAGCTTGGCATCTCAATGTCACGGTAAATTCTCTCTCTCTCT